GATCACGTGTACCGATTGAAGAAATAGGGGATCCATCGTCAAGGGAAAGAGTTGAAACGTTGTTTTTTTTTCTCACAAACAAAATGAAGCTTTCAAAGCACACATTACTCAAAACAATCTAGGAAAATCCTCGAAATGATTTGTTTGTCGAAAAGTGATCGCAGGGTCGTAAAAACAGTTTGACGGGCCGAAGAAAATATATGATTAATTTCTACAGTCTATGTATACGTTACACCGCCGTTGAAGACTGCCTAGTCGCGCGGGGTGCTTCTCTTGCGTAATCTTTCGCTGTACGGTTATATGTAGTGTCGTGGCATTTGCGTAGATGCAGATTTTCGCGGGACAGATCGCCGATAGCGACGCACATATTAAAAACCAACAACACGCGTATTTTTCAGTCAATATCTCAAGTTTCTGGCTTGTTTTCCAAATATAAACGCGCCTTGCCTCGGAGTGGAGGAAAAAAAACGAGCTGTCGGTAAAATCCCCAAAAAGCTGTACCGAAAAATATCGCCTGTAGCGTAAGTATGGGCGCGCAGTGTTTACCCCGTCCTCTCCCGCAAACAAGGCATCGCGAGCTTTGTAAGTCGACGCCACTGGAGCATCATCATCAAAGAAATGACACGCCGAAGTATATACACCTGCACGGACGGAAAACGGCTCCACGTCAGTCAACGCTTTAACTTACCTCTTCTTTCGTTTGCCTTTTTCCTACAGTAGCACAGCAGTGGATGTTAATAAACGAAAGCTTAAACTATGTATATACCTGCACCGTATGACGAGGGATCTGTTTACTCGTATATAGCGTCTTTCGCTTGTCGCTGACCGCGTACGATGTTACCAGACACGGTTTTCTCTCTACGTACGCGTAATCCGATTCCCACTGTATACTCGCACGCAAAAGTCGTGCACTAAACTTGTTTTCGCGAATTTAATATAGTTTTCGAGTTTGACTGGAACTCCTTTAGAAGGGGGCTAACTTTTATCGGACTTGTAGCAACGTAGCTTTTTTAAAGGAGCTTTTGTATCAAAATATCACTGGACAATTAATATTTAAAATATTTGTATTTTGTTGAAAGTGTAGTTTCACAAAATATTATCGCACAACTTTACGGATTTTTGAACAAAAAATAAATCAAAAGAGACTTTTTCCCGCTATGAAGTATAAACCATAGAGTAATTTTGATTTTTTTTGGTGATTTTATAAGTACTAAATAACTACATAAATTTTATCGATATTAGTTGGAACTGAGTCACAAAAAGTTGAATTTTTATTTAAAAATCAGGAAACATGAATAACACTGTTTGATGAATCGTGAGCTATCATTACTTGATAATTTACTTTTGATCATAATTAAAATAACTGTAAAAAAAAAAAAGAAGAAAAAAGTCAACTGATCATTTATTCAATGTAATATTACGTATTAGCAAAAAAATGGCAAAATTCGTTTTGGTCAGATGAGTCTCGTGAATCAAGCTTTCGAGTGCTAAATTTTTTATGAATGAGGAAGTAAAGTGGGTATGTCTTCGGATGAGTTTTTGCAGACCCCCTGGCATTAATTATTTAACGAAAAAAGATACGAAACTGGCCAATTAAAAATGAATGAAAGAAAACCATGATTTTACTTTGCAATAAAAATGGGAAAAGTATACGTCAACAAAAAAAAAAAATTTTAACAAAACAGCCCTTTCAAGATTCAATAATCGTGTAAAAACCACGAACGAGATCACTCCGTCGTACACAGTAGACACAAATATAGACCGCTCCAAAAATAGAAAAGCTTTTTACGAGGAAAAATCAATTATACACACTTTCCGATGTAATGAAAGTAGAGCCGATACTAATGCATCCGACTGACTCCCCGCTCGACGCCAACATGACTCCGACACTTTGCTCCCTTACAACACAAAATAACATCAACGTCGCGAGAAAAGAAAATTATGTAATAAAAAAAATTTTTTAAAATGGCGCGCATACATTAAAAACCTCGACTAATTGTCGTTCAAGTGTTACTAATTTGGGGGATGAGCGCGAACGCGTCGTAAAAAAATATGTAAAAAATAAATTGCTCAGCAAAGGGGTACTTCGATGTCATGTTGATGAAACGCATCGCTCAAGCTTTAAACGGCACTGTACGAAGGTATTTTGTATTGAATCGACTAAAGACATTGAGTTCTAATGTAACCATCGCGTTGAACACTTACTGCTTCACTCGCGGAAATATAACCGCTTGACTATACTTCGTTAACGTAACGGTGGCCTCTTGAAAAGCCGATTTTTCCCATCTCGAGTACATTCACGATTACTACTATTATAACTTATTTAAAAGCACACCAAACAAATTTCACGCTGAACCAAAAAAAAAAAAAAAAAAAAAAAACCGTGAATCCCAAAAGTGCCTCATTAGAATGAAGGAAAAAAAAAAAGCACAGCTTCGAACACTTGACAGCGGAGACCAGAGCAGTAATATCAGCTCGGGAAACCCTGCACTAACACACACACGCGCGCATCTCTTGAAAGCTCTGTGTCGAAAGCGAAAGTGCCGCAACGTTGGCACACCAGCACACATCACTTCCCTCCCATCTTCTCGAAGAAAAGCTCCCGAACTTGAATTAAAAAAAAAAAAAAAAAAAAAAAAAAAATAATGAAAAGGAGAAACACACTTAAGGCCGTTTTACCCAGTGCACAGGTGTGTCGTGTCCTCGGTCGCTTCCTCGGCTTCTTTAATTCTTCCTCTTCCCCGTGGCCGACCAACGACAAAAAAGTCGAGGTCGCAAGCACAAAAAGCTCGCCAGCCCGTACGGCCGGTTATCACGGAGGATGTATCACGCGCGCCGAGGGAAAGCGCGGAGCCCCTCCTCTTCTGCCCTTTGCTTCGAGGGAAAAAAAAAGAGGGAGGGGGTTGGCATACACACACACACAAACACACGTGTACGCCTCCGTATTGGCGGAGGAGGAGGAGGGTAGCTTTCGCTTTCGCTTTCCCTTTCGATCGGGCGGCGCGCGTGTAGCGGCGCTCCCTCGCGACCCACACGGCAGGGAGAGGGAGGCTCGGCTGGTTACATGGCTGCTGGGTCGTATCGACCATGAAGATGCGCGGAGGAGCTGCTGCTGCTACTGTGAGCGTATATATAGTGGAGTAGTATAGAGGTGGTGTATACGTGTACCCGCGCAAGCGAAGTGAGGGAGGGCCTTGAGAGGGTGGCAGAAGGAGGAGGAGGAGGAAACTACGCCACCGGGTCAGGGAGAAATAATCGAGCGACGGAGGGAGGATGGGTGTCTTTTCAAGGGAGCTCTGGAGCTTTGATTGGGAGGGGGGAGGGGTAATAACGCCGGGGATCTGGCTGGCCCAGAGAATGGCTCTGCCGAGCGGAATTTCGACGGGTACTGCGAGTTAGGGGGACGGGGGATGTTTCATTGTCAAAGGAATGTATAGGTACACTTTTGGTGCACAAATAAACGGAACAAGTTGTAATCGGGGGTTGCCATCTCTTTTATTGTCGAGATCAAGTACGACGAGTGCAGATGGAAAGCAGAGCCGAGAGAGGTGATAAATTGAATTTTCAAATTATTCCGCTCGACTGCGTTGAGATCTTGCCGATGTGCTGGTATCGCTGCGAGCACGGTAGGAGATGTACGTAATATTTTACTTTATTTTTCGAGGGGTTGCTTCAGGCAAAGCTTTTGTTTCTATGTACTTTGTATTACCTACTACGATGATGACTGTGACTCGCAGATCGATGTCCTGTGTGTATGAAACTCTAATGCCACTGAACACGTACCACGTGTACACCCACTGAAGAAAAGTGTGGGTAAAAATTTAAACACTCGTACCTTGGTATACCGCAACACTTTTCATCAGATATGAAGCTTTTCGTGTTTAGGGGAGGAGGAAGAGTATATAATTGTCTGTCTCGTTGGCATCGATTTATCCTCGCTGGCGTCAATCGCGCGGTTTTCGTCCCTTTAACAATCCCAAGCGAGACGCACCTGTTCTTACGAGTGTACACTCAAAATATTTAGCTTTTAAATTGAACGCTCGGTTTACCCTTAACGAAGGAAGGACCATTGCGTCTCTTGTTTTTGGAAGATTAAATTTTTTTTAAAAACAATTTTTTTTCTCCAAACAACGACTAACCATTTGTCATGTCCTTCCGCACTCATAAAAATTATCTTGAGTCACGAAAACTAATAGTGTGGCTCATTAAATAGCCGGATACTTTAACCCGCCCTTTTTCCAAGTCATGACGTAAAAGCTCGGGAAAGTAATTCTCATTTGACGCGGGATTCAGAGGATCTCTCGAAAAAATACTAAGCTTCGTCTTAAACACAACATATATTTTTTACCTATCAACGCGTAAACTCATTTAGTAATTTTTTTTTTCTCGAGGATATTTTGGTAATAATCGATGGCTTGCTGTGTTTGTATCTTTTCCCTTGGGATAATGTTCTGATTGGTGATGGAGGAAACTTGGCTTTTTGGTTGGGCACACAGAAAAGGAAGAACCCGTCGACTATCCTTCGCAGGGGTCTGCCGGTCTTTGGACCAACAGAATATAACCCAATAACCCATGTACTCGTGGTAGGCCTCAAAGTTTTGGGCATTCACTTTTTTCCTTTCAAAGGGGGCCCGTGAAAGTTTGCCTCGAGTGGATTAAATGTCTTTTTAATCTCGCACAAAAAATCGACAACTATGCCTAGCTAAATGTACACATGTATCCACAAATGTGCGAAGTCATATTTAAAGAGTGCAACTGAGGGGTTCAGGCAAAGAAAAAAAAAAAAAAACCATTTCTCGACTGCGTAACACCAGTGGCAGGGGCTTAATTTTCCATGTCACGGATGTCTCATTTTACAACCAGTACGGCTTGTCCTCCGTACGCGTGTCATTCTCGAACTCGAGACGCGCACGTGGCAGTAACAGAGGGACGAGAAGAAAGAAAAAGTACGAGGACGACGACGCTGAGGAGAAAAAAAAAAGGAGAAAAACTCCTCTTACCTTAGCAAGTAGTTGACGCAGACGACGGAGAGCGGCTTCTGGAGTCTCGAGCAGTGGATGAGAGTCGCTTGGGTGACGACCCAGGCATAACCGCCCTGTTTGTTCAGGAAACGGTAGGCCATTGTCTCGCACTGTCCCTTGCTAAACACTGCAACACGAACGTGCGTAAATACGCGTGTTTTATTACCCTCATTGCTATTATTTTTCTTATGTTATCTTACAAATAGTTGAAACAATATACTTGAAATTTTATGGCGAATTTTGTAAAATGGCCAAAATCGTTGACGTTAAGTTTTTCAAGTGTTTCAGAAGCTGACCGGGTTAGTTTGGGCTTTTTTTGGGTTAAAAAAGATGTTATAGGATAAAAAAATCCAAATTGAGCTATCGTGCATTCCGAACGATGCACCTGTGAACGTTCCCCATGTAGTATTGTCTAAGGGAACCTTTGCACGAAAGACGCTCACATCTGGGAAAAGAAGATTAGGATCAACGCTCCCTATACACTAAGGTAGTACAGGGAGAAAAAGTCATTAGGTTGGTATACGGGAAAGGAAGATAAAAACAATACGTTGAAAAGGTCAACGGTCCTCAAGTACGCGAAAGCTCGTGAAACAAAAATGTTTTCCAGTCGTCCCACGGATGCGGAAAGCTTTTTAAAAAAGTATCATACGAAAGAGGAGATAAGCAAGATTTCTCGTTTGTCCACCTACGCGCAAACTCGGCTCTCCGATAAATTTTGCGAGTCCTCCCCGCCAATACGACGACGGGCACGCGCGCGCGATAACACTTATACTGAGGACAAAAGGGGTTTTCTTGCACGTTTTGGGAAATGACGTGGTTTTCGAAGAGGAAGTGATAAACTTCCGTGCAAAGTAAGCTTCGCATTTTTTCTCTTTATTTCGCTCTCCTTTTTTTTCCGTTCCTCGTGGATCTACGGGCCTCACCCGTGCGCGACGAGCGAATTTTTGTTCTCCCCCGGGTTAAACGGATGATTAAATGCGAAGAGGGTCAGATTTTTTGTACCTATATAGATGGTGTGGGAGAAACGAAGGAGGAACTTTTGTAAATCTTGATTGCAACTTGCTAGACATGCTTTACGATTTAGTGAAAGTTTGACTTTTTAAAATTGATTTCGTTTTTTTTTTTTTTTTTTTTCAAACCATAGTAACTTTATTCAGAAATTTTTAGATTTTTTTATTGAAAACGAAAATGTGTCAATTTACGTGCTGATTATATGTATTTTTTCTTTTATTGTAAACTTACGCGATTTAAAAGACTTGTCCAATGATACGTTGTCAAGAGCGTGATGAAACTCAAAAACTGATTGACCCATCAAATCATTGCTCTCCCAGCCAAGGAATTCAGCAAGTCTGGAAAAAATTTTTTTTTCGTTCAATAATAACCATGTGGGGTGGATGGTAGAGTCACGGACTAGGTATCGTATTAGTTTGACTGTATAATGTGGCTAAAATTATTATATACAATGATACATAAAACACGAATGAAAATTATTTACAATATGAAAAATTTAACATGGTTAATCTTATTAGTTCAGTTGAGAATTTGTTTACCGTGTATTGGTTGCATTAATCAAATTTTTTACACTCATATACGAGTATAAGTTACGTGTATGAATTTAAGTCTGTGCATAATGATATGAATAAATAAATAAATAAAAATTTGTCACGGTTAAAAAAAAATTGTATTTAATTTTTACAGGCGTTTTAGTGGTTGTAGATAAATCGACTAACTTGTCATCGGCGTAAGTGAACTTCATGCTGAGATTATGTTGCGACAGGAATGTCGATTTGCCCATCGGTATTTCGATATTACCCGGATGTGGCACGGGAGAGGCGACAACAACCAAGGAAGCTCCAGGTTCCTTTTCGTGACTCTCTTCCGAACTGTCGGACTCATCAGCGCCATTGCTATTTTCGTTATTACTATTGTCATCGCTTTTGCTGGTATTCGTTATTGCTTTAGTGCTTGGGTGTACGATCAGCCTACCCCTACAGTGAATGACCTGAAAGAACGTGAAACCAAATTTACACATTTTTATAAAAATATGAGTATATTTCTTACAGAGCTGCATGAGCAGATATTTTAATGTTACTGAAATATCGTTAATACAAAAAATTATCTGTCCTTTTATTATCTCTCGATTTCCTCCTGTTTTTTTTTTTTTTTTTTTCAATTGATATGTGAATAACTTTGCTTATAGTCGTCAAAAATATCGTGTACAGTTTTTGATTGCAGATCAGCACGCAATAGTATTTAAGATGTGGTGGAAATGTTCGGAGCTGATTAAAGTAAACTTGTAACAAATGTTATATTTCATCTAAACACTTAACAACCAGCATTAGCGAAATTTCAATTGCGTAATAAAATCATTTTGCTTTTCGTAAAGTCAATGTTGTGTTTTGTATTTTGTAAAACATGACTACAATTTATCCTAAGCCTCTTATTATTTTTATAATCACAAAAGCTGAGCTTTTTCTTTCTCGAACTATTAATTATATAGAATAAATTATAATCTAGTCTAGAATAGTACCGAATTATGCCTTGTATTACACGTAAAGAATCGACAAATATTTTATACTTAAAATTTAATTGTTATACAAGCAGAAATGTGTACTTCTTCTAAACGTTCATTTTTTTTAAGATAGGAAGGATAAAATTCATACTAACGAAAAATAAGTATTGAGAGTTCAGTGAAACTTTCGAAAATTATGTCTACACATCGTAAGACCAATGCATGAGTTCTTAATATTGTTTGAGCATTAATGCTCTTTCAACACCCTACTGCAATTCACATTTTATGTAATAAAAATATTGTTGTGCTTGATTATTTTCTTAAAGTAATTAATATTTTTTTTAAAATCACAGCACAATGTACTCAAGGGTTGCAGAAGAAAACGAATTTATTTTAAGCTTCCAATTGCTTTATGATTCAACAATTTTAGTAATTTTATAACCGGCATATACCTCTTTAATCTTTTTAATGACCTCTTTTGGTATTTACAAATATAATTCTTTTTAATAACACCATTAAATTTTTTGCTTCCGTATTTTCTTAAGAATTAACATTAAACATGACGAAGCTGGATAGTAAAATTGAAATAAATTTTTTTTTAAATAGTAGAGTAGTACTTCAGTATCGCAAGCTGGCTAAGACGTATACGTTACAGATGACTGAGCTTCAACAACTTCTCTGTGTACACACTTATATTTATTCACTGTGATTTAATCGAGTTCAAGTACTCGTAAAAACATCAGACTGAGATAGAATTCAAGCGTAAGCAAAGTCTGAATATCAAATATTAATAAATACATGTCAAAGCGGCCGTTTTCATGATAAAGGAAAATTAAAAAAAAAAATTTCAACTGATTCATAAACTCTGATATTTTTTGCGTTACGCCGACAACAGGCTGCAGTAAATTATTTTAGTTTATGAACAGTTGCTGAGTTATTTAAAAAATAAATGTTCACTCTATCGTAAAGTTTTATCACAAAACACAATTTCTTTTCATACAATTTGCATGTATAAAATGAGAAACAGCTTGTTTTTCAATATAAAATCCGTGGAAGTTAAAGAGAACTGAAATTATTATTTTTTAATGAAATAAAATCGAGCAACAAGCCATGTATGAAATTTAAGCACTTTTTTGTTGACAAACAAAAATCTTAAAAATAGCTCACGAAAATGTCGCACCTTGTAGGACGCACTCTTGAGATTGACTTTGCGACCCTTGCTTGTGAGCGTGCACTTGAGCCGCAAGAAAATGTTGCAGGGATTGTGATGCTCGACAGCTTCGGATGTTTTGAGCGACAGCGATTCTCTGATTTCATCGTGGTCGCACGGATGGCTGTAATCGAAGACACTCTGGCCCATCAAATCCATCTGCATTGACGAACAAAAAAAAAAGAAAAAAACATTTATGATTATAAAATGAGTTATATGTAAATGAAAATTGCATGTACGCCGCAGTTTTTTGTATGAAATTCAAGCGTATTTTTGGATCAAACCGCAAGAATACCATGATAACGGATCATAAATTCAGACCTTGTTTTGATATAAATTATCTACAATTAAAATCAATTGACTAGAATCACTGGAAAGATATGTAGGTAATAAAAAATATATCAACAAAAACGAGATCAGTACTTTCCAATCATTACCGCGATAAATTAATATTTGTATGAAAAAAAAAAAAAAACGTATGATAGTCATAGATTAAGCTTTGGCAGGGAGGATTATAAACGTTGTATACCTGAGCGATACCGAGATAGTCTTTAACGTTCGGTGAAAGATAGGCCATGTCGCCATTATTGTCCAGGACGAGCACGAAACCATCTAAGGCTGTGAGAAGGAGCTCGTCCACTTCTGGCTGGATTTCAAGCTTCGTCAGCAGCTTCGGAACTGCAATTAGATAAAAAAAGAATATATGTTTGTAGTCATTGGGTCGTAGAAATTACATTGTGTTCAATTAAGCTAGAGTCGCAAAAAAAAAAAACACTTTACTTCAAGTTAACTTTGGTTACAATAAATTATTCTATTGATGAAAAAAACTTGTGAAAAACAATTTTTAAATGCATAAGATAAAGTAGAAACCATTATTGTTTTAAACATTTTTGATGAAAATCAAACGAAAACGTCAAAAGACATTAAATGTTTCATTGATGAACACTTATTGAAACTAAAAAAAATTATGAAAATAAGGCTTCCACGTTTATGAAGGTGTCATTAATCAGACAACTGCAAAAATATTACTTAAGAAGTTTAAAAAAAAGCCTTATAATTATCATCGAACGATTAATCGTAATATGCTGGATTCGAATCCATCGGTACAGAAAACACTGTTCAAGGTCTTTGCAATAAACACTCTTTGCGATACACTATAATTTTTGTTACAAATGAAAAAAACAACGTAATAATGAATTTCGTTCATTCGCACCCTGAATTCAAAAAAGGAGATTAGTCATGTGCATTCAATAATTAGAAAAAAGAGAAGAATTAATGCGCAAAGACACATTGAAAAGTATTTCAAATTAATGTAATTTTTTTCTCCTGCAGAGAAAAAACATAGTGTTTGAAATAGCGTGCTGCAGTTATTGGTAATAAAAGAAATTAAAAAATATCCTGAATATATACTGTCACATCTATATGTACAAACACTTTCATGACGTCAAACCTACCATTGTTTTCAATAAATGTAAATGTGGAAATACTCGAGGAAAAAGTTTTTGCAAAGCACCAAAAAAATTTTTATCCGTGATATTAAGCATACATCATATACTATTGGGATTTTACAGAAATTTTTCACACAGGTTTTTAAGCAAAAAAAGCATTATGAAAATAGTAGTATTAGTCATGGTGATCGAGAAGAGAATAAAGAAGACAACTGGGAATTCTAGGGAACTTTAACTGTATCATAAAACGACGTAGTGATTTAACAATGGACCAAACACAAAAGAAAGTATTTTTTTTACCAATCAGATGCCAAGCCTTAACTGAGAACAACTACTTGTTTAAGTAACTGTAATAAAAAGTTACTAGATGACAATAAATGTCGTATAAATATTTTGTTTCATGTTATGGACAAGAAGAAAGAAAATTAATTAAAATATTATTTATTATTCACTCTTTGCACACAAAGTTATATTAAATATGGGATTTTATT